CTGGCTCCCAAGGTCAAGGCCTCGGGCGGGGCGGGCGCTGCAGGAGGGCCAGCTGCGGGGCTGGGGCTCTCCCTGGCCGGCCTGTTGCTTTCCTGGAGCCTGTCCGCCCTGGGAGCTGCCCGCCCCGCGCCTCCCCGCCTGCGCGCTGCGGACTCACAGTGGATCCGTGGCTCCGTGGCCAGAGCAGTGCGCACCGGGGGCCCCGCCGCCTCCTGCCGGTCTTCAGCCCCGACCTGGCCTATTGGGCCGGACCCGCGTGACCGGGGTGAGGAGGAGACCCCGTGTGTGGACACTGGGGCCGCCCTGCCGCCCAGCCCCGGGGCACCTACAGGCTCTCCAGAGCACGGCGTGATGGAGCCCTGCAGGGCGCCAGAGAACAGTGGGGCCCCGTGGCTTCCCCCCAAGTCCCTTCCCCAACCAGGGGTGCTGGCGTGAAGCCAGGCAGCAGGGCGAGCCTCTCACCACCACGGCGAGTTTGCAGCCGCAGCAAACTGAGCTGCCGCGACCGCGCTGTGGGCCCGGAACAGGCGCGGCCCGGGGCCTGCGGTTCTGGCGCCTGGACCCCGCAGTTCTCCGCCCTCCCAGGGGGCAGGCGCGCGCACCCGCTCCGGAGGCAGCTGCTCTTCATCTCTTTCGAATGTCATTTAAGGCCTATTTTTTAATAGACTTAATTTTTTCAGAGCCATTTTAAGTTGACAGCAAAATTGAGCAGAGGCGCGTTGCTGCCTCATAGGAGGCCTATTTTTAAAATAAAATAGCACCAGCGCGGTGACGGTCGGAGAGAGCCAATCCACTTCCGAGCGGCACGCTGGAGAGCACCTATGGTGCACACGGTCTCAGAAGAAGCTGCAGCCTGCGGGGAAGGGGGGTCCCCGTCTTCAGTTACCCAAAGTCGGAAAACCACAGCCGAGGGCCGGGCCTCGCGCCTGCGCCGCGCCAGCGCGGCCAGCAGAGGGCAGCAGAGCCGAGCTCGCGGCTCCTCGGCGGAGCTGTCCTCTGAGAAGGTTCCCGGGAATGTGGAGCATGGGAGGATAAATGAGGACAACGCACAATTTCGTCTTCGTTCTGAGAGGCCTTCGGCTGGCCTCCTTGCTGAAGAAACGTGGCTCAGCGTCTCCAGCCCACCCCCTCCCCCGGACAGGCCCTCTCTGGGGGGCAGGGCCCCACTTTAGGTGGTGCCCCCTCCCCTGCATTTAGTAAGAGACTGGGGGGGGCGGCAAGACAGACACCGAATCGCCCTGGAGACGGTGTGTCTACGCCCAGCAGGAGAGCCGGCCACCCCCAGCTGTCTGGGCCAGGCCCGCGTCCGCAGGGCGGCCACTGTCCGTGGCCCGTGTGAGGCCTGGGTGGACGC